GCACTCACGACCGGCGGTTACATGTCTTTTCTCATGTCGGACCTGTCAGGTTCCGAGCAGATCGGACCCCAGTTAGGTCGAACTTTGGTGCCCATACTTCATCTTTTAAAGGGTAAACTCGGTCACCTCGACGGGGCCGAGGTGGACCTAAGCAATCCTTTTTATCTAATTTCTTCAAACACGAATAAGGATCCTCCACGTATCTTGGGTATCTTTACCCCCCAAACAATAACCATTCCCCAACGAAGAAACTCTTGTGCTGAACACACTCTCTCAATCCCTCTTGTTCAAAACAAACGCTCCCACAAGCAACGATCTCGTACCCAGAGGATAGCACGGAAGATCATTTGGTGGTGTTCGAGAGATTGAATCGTTAAAGAATTCTTCAAAGTTAAGAGAAAACATTTTCCCCTGTATTTCACATCTTTGCACTTTTGATTTTGTTTCTAAAAATTGATGAACAAAGATCCGCTTTCGCTCTAGGATTCACATCCCACCAGTCTCTAGAGTGGCAACGGACTTAGGTGGGAGGCCAAGTCATTAGTGAATAAGCTTTCCTTCAAGAATCGTTAGGTGCAAGTGAAGAAGGAAGCATTGGGGACCACTTAGTTCGAGCGAGAACACGTTGTTGTGTCTCTTACGTCTGGGAGACAAGACCACGTAGGATTGCTCAGTCTCAGAGCAATCACAAATAGAGCCTTTGTTGGTGTCAATAAGATGCTAGAAGTTGTCGGTGCAGTGGGAGTTGAGCCTTGGTTGGTGCCAAGAAGATGCTAGAAGCTGTCGGTGCAGTGAGAGTTGAGCCTTGGTTGGTGCCGATAAGACGTTGATCAGTTAGAAGTTGTTGTGCAGCCAAAACTGAGTAATGAGAGACACTGTTGGTGCAATGGGAGGCAAGATTGTTGTTTTGTCAAGTGGGAGATTGTTACGATTATTTGGAGCCAAAATAAAAGAAAAAAAAATTGCAAGTTAATTGGGCCAATAAATCACAAGGCCTAATTTAACCTTAGTCTCCTACCATTATAAGGTTTTTTAAACCCATCCATGAAGCAAATAAAAATTGGCAAACCGTGGGAAAGTGTTTTTTAGGTGTTATTGCACAAACACTTTGAGAGGCATCAGGGCAGTAGGCAAGGCAAAGAAAGAAGACGAGATCCCAGAGTTGTAATGCATCGTGGCAACCAAATCTCGTGAGTATTGTGAGGTTTTTCATTCTTGTATTTCCTAGGATTGTATTGTTGTAGTTCCTAGAAGCTAGGTGGCTTTTGTCGAGGCCCCTAGAATTGAGAGATTTGTATTGCCCATATTTATCCCATAATCATAGTAGAACCCGCATTTGAGCCGAAGACTGGACTTAGTCCACAGTTACGTGAACCATTATAAATTCTCTGTGTTGTTTGTACGCTTTCCCTATGTTTTCTCTTATTATTGTGGTTCACTGACAAACTGTGGAAGAAGAAAATATTATTGATAATTAATTTTCTCAACACTTCTCCTTATTGATGTATGTTGATTATTGGAGTTTTTGGCAACTATGATCATATTAGATATCAGATAACGAGTGTATGAGTTTATGAGTGGAGAGGAGAGAGATCCTATTTTCTCTTTTATTAAAAAAAGAAAAAAGAAAATTGGTCCCACCAGCAATTATGTTATAAAATATGCCACATTATTTTTCTATTATGTTGACTGACAATCAACCTTAAGACTGAAAGTGTAAGATTTTGAAACCTAGGTACTGTCCTACATCTCAAGACCAGAAAAGATCCCCAAGTATTTTGCAAAAAAGACATAAATGTAAAAACTTTTGTATTAAGTATTTAGTGATGTGCTATGATACAAAAATTATATATATTAATGATATACTTTATATAGTATATCAATTATAGATTTTATCAATGGTATAAAAATGGTACATCCTTATATTCATATATCAATGATAAAAAAAAAATTTAAATGATAAAAAAAAATTGTATATAAATGATATACTTTATATTAGTATATCAATAATATATATTTTCACATAAATAAATGTATCATTCATACATTTATATTCAATATATTGATGATATACTTTACCGATCACAAAAAATGACATATAAAACACGAGAGAAAATTGTCATATTTATAAATTAATTTTCTATACCAAAAATTGCAAATATGATATTTGCCATCCATTATAATTTTCCTAATAAATATATATAAATTATATAACTCATCAATTATTATATAAATGAACTATTATTATTAAAGTTATTATATTTGCAATTACTTTTTAAAAATATTATATTCTCTCTTATAAAAATATATATTTACAAATATTTTAGAAAACAAAGCTACCCATTCATTTGCTTTTTCCTTTTTTTCAAGCCACCAAACACAACAATAGAATGATCATGATACTTTTTCATCCTCAGCTCTAAAATTCTCATCTAATACATTAATAATATAAATTCTCATTTTCAACAAAATCAATTGAAGAAGCTACCAGGACCATGGTCATCATCATCTATTTTTAGATTTCACAGGAACTCCTTTGTACATCTCCACGCGCTCCTTCAATGCATCTCGTCTCGGCCGAGCGAGCTTGTTGTTAGGATCGAAAAGAAGAACTTCTTCGAACGCTTTCAGAGCCGACTTGTATTCTTTCTTCTTCTCATATGCATCCCCAAGATTGTTCCAGGCTGTAACATATCCAGGTTGAAGCTTCACAGCAGTTTCAAACTGGGTAATTCCCTTGTCAAGCTTATCATCACGCACGTAACTGACCCCGAGCGCATTGTAAACCTGCAAAATATACGATAGAAATGACACCGATGAGACCATTAATATCGACACCTAATCTACTCAACTAGTTCTTAGCTTCGAATCATCTTTATGGAGTTTCAGTCAATAGATTCCCACTCGGCATTGTTTGTAAAATAACATGTAAGTAAAGAGAATAGAAGTAGAGAATCAGTCTATCCGTTCAGACTAGTATATATTGACCGCTGATGCAACTCAACACCGAGACTAGCAACTAAATTACCGATTGAGTGATTTCACAATCTAAGCCACCTTCCTTAACTACCTGACCTTACTTTGCATCCTTCACCATCCTTTAATTTTTAATAGCTCTACTACGATACTTTGTAACTTTACAGTTACAATAATCTATTTCTCACTGTATTACTTTAGCATAGCCTTCGCCACTTCAGAATAGCCCTTCTTTTGTCCTTCGTTTTTAAATTTGAGAGAATGAAGGCTGGAATTAACTATTTGTATAGGATGAACCAGCATGAGAAACACATAAGCCATGATTTTAAAATTAGGTTTCAAATATAAAACACCTAAAAATCTGAAATTTGATGAAGAAAATAACATATACTAATAAACAAGACAGGGACTAGTATTCTCGATGAATGTACATACTAATCACCCATCGATCTTCACGGCTAAAACTGATCAAAGTAAATTAGAGAATTGAACTTTATACTACATGATAGGACGTTCCAGATTTCTAAGATTCAGAATTCAGTGAGGGACAGTATCAAACCTGTGCAAGATCTTGATCGTCCCCGTCCCACTTGTCAATTGCCTGAAGCAAAAACTTTGTTGCAGCAGGATAGAATTTCCTCCTCAGCATCACTGCACCAAGTTCAAAATATTCCATAGCACTGGCATCACCACTTCTCACCTGTTCCTGTAACCAACAAATAATAGAGGGGAAGCGGAGTGCAACTGGTTAGCAAAGCTAGACTATCGATTCCTCCACTGATCACCCACTTAGGGAGACGGTGTCCAAATGCATATTTTTCTTTCTACAGCTAACGAGGCGTGCAAAGACTTGGTAGATAGACGTAAAATTTGAACCATGAATTCACTCATCAAATAACATGATCTATAAATGTGGACCCTTACTTGCAGTTCTTTAGCAGAAAGATCGAGTTCTCTACGAACAAGGACTTGACGCACAACGAAGAAGGTTCCGACCCCAAGAAGACCTAATAGTAATAGAAGATAAGATAGCTGTATTCCTAATTCAAATAACTCCCCGATCTCGAAAACCGCATTTGTTCTGATGTCTTCCCTAGCAAATGCTGCTTCAGCAGATATCAGCCATAAAAATTGCCCTGATGAGAAAGCAGATACAAATACTCCTAGGCCTTTTTCTGGTTGACATTCTGCAAAACCGAAAAACGCTCTTCAAACATTCAACACTAAATGATATTATGCAATAACATAAACCATGTCCGAGTACTAGTCGAGCTAATTATTTTTCGTTCATACTATCATTCTTTCAAGTGAAATATCTCAAGGGATTCATTTCATAGGAATGAGAATTTTCTTTTTTCGTTTCAAGGAAAAATCTTAACCCTTCCCTTGCTATGTTTCCATCTATAAAGGAGGTTTTGCAGGATTCCAACAATGTCAAAATGTGTTTGCACCATATTACCCTTATCAAGATTTAACTATACCATGGAGCTTGTTTAGTAATGTTTTCGTTTCTTGTTTCTTATTTCTCGTTTCCAGCATTTGAAAAACATAAATGTTTGGTTTCTCATTTTTTCCAAAAGTGGGCAGAAATTTTGAAAACAACAAATCAAGTCTTTGTTTTTTTTGTTATCATTTCCAGTTTTTTTCAAAAGATAAATAAAAGTATTATATTATCATTATTGACTTATAAAATGAAAAATTAAAATTTAAAAATAAATATAACATAAAGATTTGAGTATTTAATTTAAAAAATTATTGTTTACATAAAAATTTTATTTTTTTTAATTTAAAATTTTAGAGAACAAACACAAAATTGTTAAAACAAAAAGAAAGAATAAGAAATAGTTACCACAAGTAATTTTGCTTTTCTTTATTAAAAGAAATAGAAATGAGAATGAGAAACAAAAAATTCCGTAACTATTTTTAGGCCTTGCCCTTTTGGATTAAAGCCCTTTTTTGTATAGCTACTAAGTTTTTTGTGGCTCCTTTTGTTGACCCTTTTTTTCTGCATGTCATTTTGTATTCTTTCTTTCCCTCCATGAAAGTTGCTTTTACCATTAAAAGAATTATAGAGTATAGAAACGAAAAATATAGTTGTAAAAATTACAAATATTTAAATATTTTCATACTGGTTAAAATATGTCAACCTAACCATAGCTCAGCTAATTAGAGCTCATATATTTTCGACCAAAAGAACGAAAATTCAAATCTTCACCCCACATGTTGTTGAACTCAACAAAGTAAAAATATGTTCTTATTATACCTATGAGGGAACAACGTTCTTAACAAACGTTTTTTTTTTTATTTTTTTTATAAGAAATCATTCTTTCATTGAGAAAAATAAAACGGATAACAAGAAGGGCATATAAAAAAACAGCCCAAGACGATGACACTCATTGAAGAAAAGGGCTCAAATCCAAAAGAATGACAGCTAACTTATAGTTACAAAAGACCTTAACAAACAGTAATTTTATACGGATTCTCAAGAGGAACTAAAATGAATGAAAATCCCATTACTTTTTCTGAGTAGTTTCCAGGAAAATAGTGTGCATCAGGTTGAAAACAGTGAATGAGATAATCTTAAATCAAGTTCTTTTTGTTGATGATATGAATATGAAACAGTTTTCAAACCTTGTCACAACTTTTGTGTTGTTACAATGGGTCACAAACTGGCAAAATAACTTCATTATCATGCAAATGATGCAAATTAAGAAGGGCAAGCGACATGTCCATGGAGATATGGATCCATGGAATGTTCAAGAAATGTTACTATGATGTCCAACATGGAAACGAATAGGAGAGTGGGAGAATAAGACAAATTTGATGGGTTAAAGAAATCTCCTAAGAAGTACAGACATAGACACGAGACACAAATAGATACGTCAATTTCTGAAAAAATATGAAACAGTCACGTTGAAGACATGTTTTTAGAACATATGTGTATATATTGATTTATTTGATACATGTAAATTTAACATAAAAAACGGAATATACTTCAGTAAAAACATACAAAATCAAGTCGATTAACAATATTTGAAGAGCTTGAAGATATTTAAGGATTCGGTTGGTTGTCGCTAGGAGGGAAAGATGTCATCTTAATAGTTTAGGAATGTTGAATATATAAGGATTAGAATCTATTCTAGAACCTCTGTTTTTACTTTTTAGGTTCATGGGCTGGGATTTAATTTGTCTATTTATCCGTGACGAAGCAATGTCCAACTGTGTAAGTTGTGACTGAAATCAGGAAAAAAAAACATATAATAGACACATTTTTTAGCGTGACGGATATGTGGACACTGCCTAAAGTAGAGCGTTCGTGCTTCCCAGGACATCTCTAACAAATATCAAATCTAGTTTAAAGAGATACTGATAACATTGAGAACAAACATGTCTATATCTTAAACAAAGTCATAACCTTAACCTACAGATCACATGAACAGCCACGAAATTAATAAAAATAATTTGATTATCATGAAGTTGAATCGGAGAACAAATTACTCTTAAACATTGTCGATGTTTGAGATTCCATTGTCAATTCCTTTGAAACATCTGCCTTCATCCAGAGTGTAGGGAAAGAAAAAGAAGTTAATAACCAGACAATAGTTTGAAGATTTTTCAATAGAGAAAATTATACCAGTAATGAACATAAGATAGCAAAATTTATACACAACTTTTTACATATAGCACCCATATTGAGGAATTTACAATACTTAATGAGGTTTTCAAAGTGAGAGGAATGTGGCAGGGTGTAAGTGTAACACTGTTACCAAGTTTTGGAGGGTCGATAGGAGTGAAAGAGTTAACCATAAACATGTGGAAGGAGGATGTTTTTAGATTCAATCGAGATGAATGTTGCAGATTATTATGGTGTGAGAAAAAAAAAACCATTGATTTGGAAGCTTGTATTGAAGTAGAAAAGAACTAGTGTAGATTCATTCCTTGTGAAGTTCTGGATAAGAAAAAGAAGCAATCCAAGGTACTTTTTCCTAGGAAACTTTAATATGATAGGATCCAAATAGTTTTAATAGACTGAAAGATGAAAGGATAGAAGAACTATAATAATCCCCTAGTAATTCAAGGTACTTGGACAATCCCCTCTTGAGATCACTCTAGCCTAAACTACACTAAATAATTGGCCTTCATCCTTTCCCCCTCACCTTTTTTTTCTTTGATAACTTTTTTTTTTTTTTGTTAACTTGGAGTTGGAACTTTTGGAGGAGAGAGGCAGCCCAGTAGAAGTGTTAGTGTAAAAAATGTAGGCGAGGTGGGTCTAGAGAGGATTTCAATGGAAGAAAAAGAGGTGGAAGAAAGAAAGGTTTGGAACACGTTTGGATTCAGACATAAGAAGGACAGTTTGCTAAAAGAAAGAGAGAGTATGGAAATGTAGAGTTTTTAGAAACTTATTTTTGTTTACAAAATTTGGCTAAGAACTCAAGCTGGTTTTCAAGAAATGTGAACAACATATTTTGATATTGTGTAAACCAGCATAATTTTTAGAAACAGAACTAAAATGAAATTGTGACAAACAGATCCTAAGCTACTCTTTAAACAAATGCATACCTGAAGTTTATGAAACCGCCCAACATTCAGTCTACAGCCCTTTCTAAAGTTTCTCAAAACTGGTACGCCAAAATGATGCACGATCTTCTGCGCAGGAACAACATCATTAGAAGAGATTGAAACGGTAAAAATTTTCATTAGAGAACAGACTTGAAAAGGACAGAAAGGAAGGTCTATATTACGCAGTTCCATGGCCGCGCATATTATCCAGAATTTCCCATCATCTCGAGACCATGAGACAAGTTTTATACTTAAATGAACAAAAACAGAGTCTACATGCTCTAAGAAGTTCTAAGAGTGAGCTACTTTCAAAACGGTGAAAAGTGATTTTGAAAATTCTAAGGGTGTGTTTGGGAGCACGCCAAAATCACTTTTTGAAATTGTCAAAATCACATCAATTTTCATTATCATATTTGGTAAATTTGAAAATTGATTTTAGAAAAGCTTCCAATCACATTAAATTGATTTTTAAGATATCACTTATACGGTGATTTTGGAAAATCAATGGCTCTGAAATCTCTTTTTTCAAAATCACTAATTCTACCGTCACTCCCAAATAGCACTTTCGGTGCTTCTTCCAAAAGTTTGTGTATAAAAATGCTTTACTTAAAATCACTACTCTAAAAAAACATCCCAAACTCACTCTAAATTTCACCTTTTCCAAATTTTTCTGTGGAAACACGGCAGCAGGTGAGGAGATTTCATTTCATACTTTCACAAATTGGAGTTCAGGGTAGAAATCCATAAAGGGTTTGTCTCAAAAATAATTCATGAACGAAATCCAGTAACGAAACACGAGAGTTCAAGAACAGAATTCGGATTTCCACCCACACCTTTCCAGGTTCCTCAAATATCAACCAGAATTTAAAAACTGAAGCCCACCAGTACAACAAACGAACACCTCATAT